TGTGCCAGCACKAATCACTCACCTCTCCTCACAGGCAGCAATATCCAGTCTCTGCCCCTCAACAGGCTTGACTTCTTTCCCGGCCACTCCACTTCCTGCAGCATTTTTAGCGCTGTGACATACTGTCTTATGTGCTGTAACACACTGTGCTCCACTTGTACCTCAGCTTCCTTCTGCTGTATGAATTCTGCCACCTAAACCGAGCTATAAAAACTGCGCAGTGAGTTTGGTACAAAGACCTCCCCCATTCCCTTCCCCTCCTCGTCAGGGAAGATCCATTTTCAGAGATCACAAGTCGTCTCAGACATACCAAGTACAAGTGAGGTGGCTGCCTGCCCTCCAAGTAATTCTGCCTGTTCCTCCAAGTAATTCTGCCTGAGAGGTTGTGCTCTGAAACTTGTGGCATTTCGTGCTGTAACTAAAGCATTTGCAAGGCTGCATCCTCTCTGAGCCAAGCTGGCCAAGGCGAGCAACACAAACAGATCTCTTGGTGCTGAAAAGTCTGACTGGTTTCTTGGTATCCTACAGAACCAGCCCTCCCTGACACCCCTGGTCACCTTGAGRCCTCCAGTCCTTGATTTCCTACAGGCTGAACTGCATTAATGCTACATCTCATTGCTTTTAAAAGACCTGCTTATTAGGAGAGCACTGAAGTCAACTTCCCATAAAAGAGTCAAGAAACCTGGATACTTTGGATACTGGAAATAATGATCCCGAATAAGTAACTATGAYATGAATCTTCCAGCTGGTGACCAGCACTCCCTAGGATGAAGCCTCCCGGCAGTTCCTGAATGAAGATGGACACTGTGGCACTTGTTCTGATGAAGGAAGGCAAGTTTAACATGGCCGTGTTGTCACAAGCCAGACTAGTGCTTTCTCCAGCCTTCTTTTAGTCTCTGCTTTAAAAGAAAGTGGCCACCTAGCCCAGTCTAGCTGCTGACAGTGGTCCAAATCAGGCTTATCAGCACTSCTCAGTCCTTAGTTTTCATTGTGGTTCCTTCCTTGCATGCACAGATGGGAGAACTGGTACAAGCTGCAATTTGCAGGAACAGATAAGGGACAGAACAAACCCCAAGACCAACGGGGCCGTCACGCTGGGGCTGGAGCTCGGCAGCACCGGGCCCAGCTCCCATCGTGATGGCAGCTTTGAGCAGGGCCCAGGCAGATAATGCCCTTGTGATATGGGAGAAAAAAAAGGGATAATAAGATGAACAAGATGCTTCCTTGCTAGACAAGGACGTTAATCTCCTCAGATATTATAACAAGGCTCCTCCAAGTCTTTGCTAGTCATCACCCGCTGTGCTTTTCTAAGGTGAGAAAAATTGCCTTAGCTCTGTAAATTAATCATCTCAGCAGTGGCCAGCAAGAACAAAAAAAAACCCACAGGACTATGTACCGGGGACTAAGGCATCTAGCAATCTTCTGTTCCAGGTCCGTTTTTGTCTTTCTGCCTCATTTTTAGAAAGAAAGTGGTTGGCAGGAGAAGTTTCACCTGAGTCCAGCATCTTGCTTGCTGAATGTTGCAACATGGCCTCACGCAGGTGCAGCAAAACCCAGCCAAAACCAATTGTCCAGGAGCCAGAAGGGAGCTGGAGCTCTCTTGAATCCTAARGTTTCTTTGGGAGTGATGCTTATCTATCAAATGTTATCCTTGCAAAATGTAGGTGTTGTCCTGACAGAGCCTGGCAGGTACTTGCTACAGTGAGTTACTGTCCTGTCRCACAGATTTTTAAGCACATACATGGCACAAGATACTACTGGAGAGACTTGTAACCAGTATTGAGATTGATGGATGAATTATGAACAGAAACATCTGTGTGCCTGAAAGCATAAACAACGTGGTGGCAGAGACATGTGCTCTGCTGACAGAAAGAGGACAACAAGATTAGAGAGCACATATTACAGGAAGACAGACCATAGCTGTGGAGATCCTCAAAACATGGAAACAAAGAGGTACCAGCACTACTTAAGATTTAAGGAGGTGAAAGTAACCAAGACTCCAAGGTGAACAATCATCTCATAGTATGGGCAAGCCCTAGATGGTGTAAAAGACCAGTTCAAGTATCCCTTTTGCTCAAAAACTTGAGAGCTGCTGGGGACTTGGCAGGTGGTGTCCCTTGTCCCCTCTGCAGCACACAAGCCAACCTGTGCRGACCACCTGGATACACAGATCCTGGCACTTGCACGTAGGGGTGAGAACCTGCAAATCCAGGAAGGGTGTGAATGACTGAAAACACTTTTGTTTAAAATAAATACCAGCTTTCCCTTCTGTAACATCTCACACTGAGTTTTATTATATTGGTTTCTTACACTAGTGCATAATGACCATGCAGTATAAAGGCCAATAATGGCTGGGGGACTTTGCATGTGACAAAAACTAAAGCCATGGAGCAGCACTGGTGCTGGCATGCACCTTGCTGACACATCCTACCATGTTAAATCCCAGGAGACACATCCTTTAAAACAGTCTGCAGCATATTTCAGTTTTCAGGTAAAACTCCACGTTATTTTCTTGAAGGAGGAGCTAGCATTTTTGAAGAGAAGTATATTCCTATATAATGAAAGCCTCTCCATAAAATCACCTGTATTTTGTGCACTGTTTGCACTATTAACACTGCTGCTCAGGATTATGCAGCATGGAAAATTCTTCTATCATGACTCTTTGCACTTGAGGCTGAACAGTTTCAGCTAACTGTACCTACCTGCAATTTAAATATAAATGAGAGTCAAACACAGCATCAGTTTTTAGAGCAGGCTTGCCTGTAGCTGAAAACAGGTATTTAAGGCTTTCTGCGGCATAGTTCACCTGCAAGTCTTGATAACTTCAGCGTGTCACCTCTGCAAGTTGTCCTCTCGGTCTTACAAAATCAAACCAAACTTCGGAAGACGCAGTTTGACTGCACTGTCTTCCCTGGGTAAATTTGAAGAGATTCAGGAGTAGGAAAACTGGGACAACCTCATCTCCCAGAAAACTGGATTTTGATAGTCACTGGTGAAAAGTGTCTCTGATCTAGAGGAAGCTGCATGGATTTTGATAGTCACTGGCGAAAGGAAGGAATCTGCATCAGTAAGAAACCCAACATCTAAAAGGAAATGAGGCTGCCACGGCCAACCATGAATCTTTACTTGGTCCCCATGAGAAAACAGACAGGCCATATGAGAGAGGCCAACAGAAACCTGATCCAACAGAAAAAAAAAACTGCCCCTCAAAGCTATTCCCCAAACACTTCCCTTCTTTTCTACGGGAAAAGAAAGGAAAAACTGCCCTCCCATCGTGTTCCTAGAGAACAGAGCCCTCAGCTCTTTGTGCTCTCAGCCCTGTCTGCTTATCTCTTGTAGCTCTCACACATAGCTGCAATTCTCAAGGGCTTTCCAGAGGATGTCAATTATCCTGCCTAGGAACAAAGCGTTCAAGAACTATTTAGCACCWTTCCCAGAGAAATAAGAGCAGAAACTGTCCCACCCCTCACAGAGGGGCTAATGAGGATGTTTTGGCAATGCTGGAGGTTCTAATACTGCGTGTTAGCCTTGTTCTAACAAACACTTAGACTGCAGGACAGGTCCTTCACTGAGCTGATAGCTCCAGGCTCCTTGCCTCAAGGGTAAAACAGCACTTGCATGGATGCAGTATTTTCTTAAAAAACTAAATCAAAGCACCCAGTATATGTAATAACAGGCCACAGGCCTCTGGGAAAACCATATTCCCTTCCCAGGAGGGCAAGCYATGTAAATATCAAACGAAAAGCTCCCCCTGTGCATGGAAAGCAGTTTCTTGCTCCACTTTGCCAAGGGACTGAACTTAATCCCCAATCCTCTGAATTCTGYAGTGGAGGAGCACTCCAGCCACAGGATTTTGGTGGTATAACAGGAATATTTCTCCAGAGAAAACAACTTACCAGAGAGGCAAGGAGCAGCCCAGCTTTGGGGAGACAAGGTTTCTTTTGCAGACTTCTCTCTGCTATTCCCAACCTTCACTACAGATCTATGAGGTTTTTCTAGGGCTAGCCTATTTCTAAAGCTGAAGAAAGACCTTTAAATTTACAGCATCTTACTTAACATGAAAAATAAATTGAGAGCCTTTGTAATATTCTGCTACTACACTCACATACCTGGAATACCACAAAAGACTGGACACAGAACAGAGAGGAGCCAACTATGGTACTTGACTTAGTACATGACTTAGGTATACAAATATTTTGGCTTCATATGTATAAGGATGGCATCTACTGATATATAATCCCCTCTGTTCCCTTTTTTAATATGTTCCTCCTTCCCTCTAAGAGATTTCCATGAATGGYCATCTCAATAAGGCAATGATATTCACCATGTATTGCTTCAAGTAATGGGAACACAAAAAGCATAATTCAAGCCAAGTCAGACRAGAAGTCTGGATTTAGGTTCATGTGCACTGCATTCCAGTGCAAAACCTATACACAAAGTGTGTTATAATTGTTCTTAGGGTCAAAAAGTTTAAAAAAATGCATTAACTGAGAATACTAACTCAGGCAAAAGGGAAAAAACAGCTTCCTAACAAAAAAACACAGAGGCTTCTAAATAYACATTTTGGTATTAATATCAGCATTTTGCTACTTGTATCCTTTCATCTCATCACCCCAGCACATTTTTTGTCCAAAATGCTAGAATAGAGGAGACGGGCAGCTTTTGTGCAACACGCTAAASGCCCCTGGTTTATAATTTATTGCCAGTAATGATCCTCAGCTATTCACCCTGAACTACTCTTCTGAAGGCAGAGCTGTTAAAAGTAATGGGTATCTGCTTCAGCTCGAAATAATGAGGACAGTAAAAAAAAGTACATAAACAGCTRAAGTATGTGCCAGCTATGCAGACAGAGAGATGTGCTCTGCTCTAATTGAATGGGCAGCACACCTACAGCACAGACAAGTCCAAAAAACCCACAGCATCTATCGTGCTGGAGGAAAATTAATAGGTGTAACAAGAGCAGAGCAGCCCCCAAGTGATTACCCAGCCCGGTGACTTACTTTCCCTCTGATCCGTAGCTGTTCATACTGTCCTCGATGGACTCGTGGCTGGCCTGGCGCACGGTCCTGCTGGGCATCTCGACGGCCAATCCTGTTTCCGTGCTCCTCTGGATGGCTCCTTTGAGTCTCCGACCATCCCCATCTACAGAGAGAAGTGGGGAAAAGGCCCTCAGCAATCGTTCCCTTGGGAATAACGGGGTCAAGGAACAAAAGAGGCCGTTTAGAAGATCAGCCAGGGAATGTCACCATCATACGGCGCTTCAGCAACAGCTCCAATACCTTTGGAGCACACCTGGTGATCCAACAAGCCAGGGCCCAGCAGCTGCACAAAATATATCCCTGCTTGAGTTACTTTAAATATTTCCATCATGTAATTAAGCACTGAGCACAGACACACACAGGCCCACAAGCCAACCCCACTTGTGAGGCTGCCCAGGCTGAACACAGCAGCAGGACCATGGGCAGAGCTGAAGGGACAAACTCAGCTGTGCCCTTAATGCTTCCRAAACTCTGCTCTCTCACATTGGGAGAAGCAGCAATAAACTGTAATTCCTGACCAGCTTCAAAGCATTAGAAAGGGAAGTAAAATCCAAACGGCATTAGATGTGTCTGGATACGAAATACTGAGGTGCAGCCAAAACATTCCTTGTTGCAGGTCACCCTGGAAGAGCATCCTTCCTGGAAAACCCCCAGAGAAGACAAGTCCTTTCACACATACCCTCAGCAGAGCCCAAAAGGGAACTAAGTGGGTTCTCTCTTCTGYTGAGCTCAGTCTTCAAAGGCTCTGAAATTAGCAGCTGCTATTTTAAACCTTCTTTTCCAGAAGTCTGCATTTCTCAGAACCACCATGTTATATAATGAATATGTAATGTACACCATTACCATTGATTGCCTTTACTGGTGTCAGGAAGCTCCRAATTTCATCCTAGAGACAGCACACGCATCTGGAAAAACGTCAGCTACGAGTTTAGCAGCTTCACAAACCAGAATACCCAAACCCTTACTGCACAARGCAGAATACTGAAATCCATTCTCAGGCGCCACCCAGAACTCTGAGAAGGAAGATGCTGCTCATCAGGTCTTAAGTGACAGACCTTTGAACCATCCTTCCTTACATTGCTAGGGATTATTTTACTTTTTGTTGTTGTGACTGCAGCAGACAGTAGCATGGATGGTAGAAAGCAACACTGCTGTATAATGGCTCTTCTGGAAACCCACCAGCTTTAAGARCATCCCTTGAAAAGTGACCCAGTCATGTCAGTCTCAAGTATCCAGGACCCTCAAGGACTCCCAAATACCAAAGAAGTTAAGGCTCTGCAGCTATTTTGGAAACAAGGAGATATCTGTAAGAACATGCTCAAAATACGCAGAACATCGTCATTTGTGGAGAAAGCTGCTTGACCTAGAAATGCTTTTCTTTGATTTTTGAAGTGAAAAAAAATGAGAAAAAAAGTCACCGAGATTTAAAAATGCTTCCTTTCCTACTTCTCACRTAACACCTAGAGCATTCTGCAAGGACAGGACCTCTCACATGAGCTCAGCCCTAGAGGCCCCTTCTCCTGGGGTCTCATGCTGTTTCCAGGCGGGTGGACACGCTGGGGCTCTGCACCAGCTGCAGTCCCCACACGCRGCGCTGCGCGGGGACGTGTGTCCCGCGGGGACGTCAGGCTGGAATATTATGCATGTTCTGGGATAACGTTAACTACAAATCGTGGTGTTTGTGTGCCGAGAGCAACGTATCGGGCACACTGTATAAACCAGGAAATTACACAAACAGAAAACAGATATTTTTCAAGTGCTTTCTAAACACAAACCTTCAGGCAAGAATATTAATACAGACATCAATAACAGCAAAGCCTCCTGAGAAGGCTCCGCTTCCCCAGTCACTGCAGAGAAGCCCAGACTTCTCCCAGCTCTTCTTCCAGCCTTTCTAGAAGTGATTGGTTTTCCAGCGTTCCCTATTTTTTTCACTGACACATGGATATTCTCATTTACAAGGGGAAAAAATAGTGATAGTAACAGAGAGGCTCCAGAAATCAAGAGCTGGCAGACAAGAGCAGGTCGGCTGCCCGGGATGAGCCATGATCGCAGGATCCTTCATCCTTTCCTGGCAGGAACACGAAGCAACTGCTGTGTCTAACAAACTGAATGAGGAGATGGGAATGAGAAGGTGTCTCTGGCCCTTTTCACCTTCATTCTCTTGTGCTGKGAGTTTTCCTTGAACAGAAGGGGATGAACCTGCTTTGCCAAAAAGGCAGGGATCCCACCCAACACAGCATTTGRGTCAAGACTCATCGGGATGACAGACCAGGAAACGTACCAGGGAACTGGGGAAAACAGGATTTAGGTTCCTAACACTTCACTTAAGCCCTCCAGTTAAACACAACCATGGTCAGTATGTTAAAAAATAGCATTTTAACTCCCTCAGCTGGAAGGGAAGCGCAGGACCAAAGATACTGCACATCTGGAGAAGGACAAGATGCTGAAAGGAAATAAAGACGTACAAAGCTGCATCGCTCCAGGCAAGAGGCTGGTGCTTCCACCCCCTGGTAAATCAAGGGGGTAAATGGCACGTCACTGTGAGGGTGGCAACCAGAAAATCTCTTTTTTTATTGTGCTAGTGGTAGCTGGAACAAGCAAAAATAGTATTGACTTTTTCTGCAGCATCGCCAGATTTATTCTGTGCACTTTTTCCAATTAAGCAGTAACCCACAAAGGTTGAGCAGCCAGGCAAGCCCGCAGTGCAGCAAGCAGCGGAAGAGCAGAATCTGGCTCTTCCAGAATGACTTTGGGAGGAAGAATTTCTCTTTGCCCGAGCAGTTACCCTGATGATCAAGCTCTAAGAACCAGACGGGACCAGAAGACCCTTTGCCAAGTTCTCCACGTTTGCAAGCACTTGCACTTTGCTAGTTCATGCTCTGTTGAACCCAACAGTTTACGCTTAGCTTAAAAAAAAGTACCTTCTAAAAAGGCATTTGAAAGCACGAAGAGATGATGCATCTGCCATTTGCCTGTGCAGTTCATTTCACTCCTGACATCTGAAGATGCCTTAAGTTTGCCTGGTGTCAGCTTTTAGCCATCWTTTTTTTTTTTTAAATGTCCTCCCYAGCGAGGGCTGCTTTGTGTGCTCGCTACAGAGGCTCTTCTGCAGCGTAATCAACTCATCTCTCAATCTGCTTTTTGACAAGTTAAACAGACCGAGCTGCTACGTTTCTCATGCATTTTCCCCCCTGCTTGTCCTTGAATCATTTTAATGACCTCCCCGGGTTTTAAGCACCCTTTTGACAACACGCACAGCAGAAGCACAGAGCCTGTTTTAGTACAAAAACATGTAGAGAAAGGCAAAAACCACCTGGCACTCTCATCTTCTGCTTGTATCGCCTAGGACTCCAATGAGTTGCTCTCGGAACAGTGTCACTGTTCAGTCCCTGCCTCTCCTGCCAGTAGAGCCTTGCAGAATTGTACTGCCAAGAGCAAGAAAACGTTAGTGCAAACGGCTCTATCCATCTCTTCCCTCCTCAGGGCAACTTATTACCCTGCCAACAGGCCTGTGAATACAGCAGGATTGAATTCAAATTTGTCCCAAACCAGATGAAAACAATGGGCAGCACCAGGGCTTGAAAACAGCCCCTTGCCTTTGATGAGGACTATCCCTGACAATGGTTTTTGATATATGAAGCCAGTTCTTAATCCATTTATCACTATTACAAAACATTACTTTAAGGTCACGTTGTTCTAGGTCAAAACCTTTACATACTTAACACTTTTACCCACATACCTGCTTCTGCTGAAAAGCAGAATAAAAGCTTCTAATAAGACCCATTTTTGCTAAAGCCTTCTCGACTAGTACTAATTATATTCCTTTCATCTTTTATTAATTGAATCTCATTACTATCTTTCCCCTAATTCTGACTAGAATTGATGTCAGATGAACTAACCAAAAGCTCCCCCAAGTTAAAGTGACCACGTGGGTGCACAGGGGATATTTTCAGGGGGCAGCTGCATTGAAAGGCAGTTTTTAAGGACGATGCAGGTTCCATGGCAGAACTGTCACCAGGAACAGCATCTTAGTCTTGGGGAAAATTAACCAAAGTATAATAAAAAAATGTATTGTTCTCTTCTCTCTCCAAAGGGAACACAGTCCCTTTCATGTTGCCTTCTGTGGAAGTCTCAAGCCCTTTCCTTCTGCTCCAGACAGGTCTCTCTGTGCTCAGAGGACAGGGAGTCTTGAAAATCCACGTCAGCTCTGCAACAGCTCATTGCAAGGTCACGATTACGTAATTATCACCATCAGAACTACCCTACAATAGGTGATCAGATGATGCTGAGGGATGGAGCAGCCCCCTTCCACTGTTATCCTTAAGCTACCTTCTCTCCTGTTGCTTCCTTTACTCCTGCCTAGGTGCTTGGCATCTCCCTCTCGCAGCTTCTTGCCTTTCATTTTCTGTGTGCTTGTCCAGTTTGCTGGATGTTACTAACACAGATTTGGTGGGGGGGGGAATCAACATCACGCATGTGCTAGGGCCCTTACATACTTTACAATTAATTGATATCGATTTAACCCTGAGATTAGAAATTGACCGAATTTCAATTCAATGAGCCTGGCTGCTAAATGGACCAAGGGCTCCTGGAGCACATGAAGTGTTGGGACACGGAATGCAGGATGCGGCAGCAGCGCAGGCTGCTCCGAGCCCCAGTTGCTTTTCTTCCTTTCCAAACCTCCAATTGGGGCACAAGGGCATTTGCAGGAGGTGGGAAGAGGTGCTTGCCTTCAGGGTCCATTWGTTCCTATTGCAAAGCCTTGAGCAAAACAGTATTTTGCATTTCCCATAAAAGACTAGCCCAAAGCTGAGCAGAGACTGCATTTCTCCTGCTTTTTGTCCCTGAGCCGATCAGCGTGGATTGATTTGCATCCATGCATCCTGCAGGATATGGAGTTGGGCACACTCTGCTCTCTGGCTTCACCTCTGGGTTCCTCAGCAAGAGATTTACCTGCTTCACTCCAGAGTAAAGCCCAGGTACAGAGCAGCACTTACACCGCACAGAGAACTGGCAACCCCAGCAGGACACAAAGGACAACCCCTGTGACAGAGCAGACAGTCTCCAGAGTGTGAGCACCTTCATGTCACCAGCACAGGTGAT